AGGCTGCGGGGGGGATTCCCCTGGTCACTGTCCTGGAAGAGGACGTCCAAGAGATCGTCGGCGAGGGAGCTGGCCGGTCGCCCTCCTCCGCCGGCTGCTCTGGACATCCCCACGCCGCTATTATTCGCAGTACTCCTCATGTCATCGTCGCCATAGGCGATGGAGGCGCTCCGCGCGCACCGTTTGAGCCAAAATGGCGACGGACCCCGTCGTCGCGGGAAGTTCAAAGCCACCCCAAGCCTTGCCGAAACATGATGGACCCACGAACCCGGAAAGGGATATAGACATGTGCAGCATGGTCACGTTTTCACTATATCCAACTGGGCGACACCTCGCGAAACATCCCACGAGACACCCCGCGAAACATCCCAGGAGACACCTCACGAAACAACCCGCGAGACACCTCACGAATCCACGAGACACCCCGTGAAACATTCCACGAGACACCCCACTCAACCAGACACCCCACGAAACATTCCACGGGGGTGCGACTGGGTGTGGTCGTGCTGGGGTGTGGTCGTGCTGGAGTGTGTGGTCGCGCTGGGGTGTGCTCGTGCTGGGGGGTGGTCGTGCTGGGGGGTGGTCGTGCTCGGGGGGTGGTCGTGCTGGGGGTTGGTCGTGCTGGGGCGTGGTCGTGCTGGGGCGTGGTCGTGCTGGGGCGTGGTCGTGCTGTGGTGAGGTCGTGCTGGGGTGTGGTCGTGCTGGGGTGTGGTCTTGCTGGGGTAGGGTCGTGCTGGGGTCGGGTCGTGCTGGGGTGTGGTCGTGCTGGGGTGTGGTCGTGCTGGGGTGGTGGTCGTGCTGGTGGTGGTGGTCGTGCTGGGGTGGTCGTGCTGTGTCGGGGTCGTGTGGGTGGATCGCGGTGGTGGGTGGTGTGTTTCGTGCTGGCTGTGGTGTGGTCGTGCTGGGGTGTGTCGTGCTGTGGCGGGGGTCCGTGCTGGGTGTGGTCGTGCTGGGGGGGTGGTACGTGCTGGGGTGTGGTCGTGCTGGGGTGTGGGTCGTGCGTCGTGTGCGTGTGGGGCGTGGTGCGTTTGCTGGGTGGGGTCGTGCTGTGCGTGGTCGTGCTGGGGCGTTGTGTCTTGCTGTGTTGGTCCGCAACCCTGTGATTTATCGAGTCGGGTCGTGCGTGGGTGGGGGTGGGGCGTGCTGGGGTGTGGTGTCGTGCTGGGGTGGGGGGGTGGTTGGTCTGCTGGGGTGTGGTCGTGCTGGGTGGGGGGGTGTTCGTGCTGGGGGTTGTCCGTGCTGCGTGGGTCGTGCTGGGGCGTGGTCGTGCTGGGGCGTGGTCGTGCTGGAGTGGCCCGCACCCTGTGATTTATCGATCGGGATTTCAAAAAGAAGCGTTTCGCCTGAGATATCCTCTAATTTTAATACGCCGGCCTCCTTCGACCTCGATATTTCAGGGAAAGAATCCGCCGGCCTCCTTCAAGTTGGGCACGGGGGACATTGCTTACATACTAAAAGAGAACCCTGGGCCGAAGCCGCTTCCGGGAAAAAAACAGAGCCCTCGACCCCATCTCGACCCCATATGGCCTTGGAGCCCTCGACCCCATGTGGCTTTGGAGTTCTCGACAGCATCATCATCAGGTTGCTCGAAATGGTCTGGCGCCTTCGACCCCATCTTTTATCTGGCCACCTGAGTCTGGAACCGTCGTGAGCTCTCGGGCGATGCCGAACCGTCGCGCCCAGAGCCATCGGCCCCATCTGAGCCGCCTTCCACCCCGCTCTCTACTGTCCCCTCCCCCATTCGTCCTCCCCTCCCCCTCCCTCTTCCTCCAACCTCCCACCCCTTTCTCCTCCCCTGTCCCGCCGCCTTCCCCCGCCCCCATCCTTCTCCACCCGCAATGGTTTCTCGATCAAGGAAGGCTCTTCGGCCGCTTTGCGGCGCAGCGGATGAGGCCGCAACTTCCCTTTTTCTTTCTCTGCTGCTGCTGCAGCAGCAGTTCGGCCTGGAGCCTCGCTGCGATGCCCCCGAGAGCAAAGCCAAAGGCGAAGCCGAAGGCGAAGGCGCATGCGGAGCCTGGTCCAGACGGCGGCGGTGGAGGGGGGGCTCAGGCAATCGACCTCTTGTCCCCTGAGGAGCGGGCGTGCAACGCCCAGGTTCACGACCGTGTCACCCAGGCCAAACGCGCCATCATCGACAATCCCGTGTTCTTCAACATCATGGACGCCTGCGCGTTAGACATACACGCTGGCGATGACGCCAACACGGTGGGTCAGATTCAGCCGTTCAACAGTCAAGAGTTCGAGCGGGCGATGAAAGCTACTGGGAACTACACGTGCGGCTTCAACCTGATGGGCGTGGATCCCCACTTCTCCGCCACGCCGGGGATTCCGTTGAAGCCGGCAGCCATCGACCACTTGGTGCAGCACTACTTCTCGCAGCCCGACTTCGTCCCAGTGATCGTGCAGATCGCCATCCCGAAGGGCGCGGACCCCGCAGCGCTCGGCAAGTCAGGTCAGCTCAAGAGCTTCACCCCCGAGGAGATGAGGATGGCCATCTACTTGGCGATCAAACGCGACATCGACAACAAGGTGGACGATGATGTCTTGCTAAGATGGAGGAGGTCGTTGTTGTCTACCACGGTTAAGTCCTGCCCCCAGCGCGATCGATCGTCAATCGGACGATCCCCGATCCCCAAATCCCCGATCCCCGATCTCCGATACCTTGTCGGCAGCTCGGCCGCTCGAGGAGGAGGAGGAGGAGGAGGAGGCTCCTCACTTCCTCTTCCCCTCCCTCCAATCGACCTGCCTTCGACCGACCGCTGGTCGCGCCGCCCGCCGGCGGCGGCGACGACGACGACGACGACGGCGACGACGGCGACGGCGACAACGACGACGACGACGACGGCGACGACGACGACGACGACGACTACGACGACGACGACGGCGACGAGGACGACGACGACGACTAGGACGACTAAGACGACTAGGACGACTACGACGACGACGACGACGACGACGACGACGACGACAACGACGACGACGACTTCGACGACGACGACGACGACGACGACGACGACGATGACGATGACGACGACTAGGACGACGAGGACGACGACGGCGACGACGACGACGACAGCCGAGGTTCTCCTTCGTCGAGGACGACGACGAGCTCCACTGGAGAGCGGTGAACCAGCGGGAGAACATCGCGCATGACTTCGCCTCCATGCGCCGGTCCAGTTTGCAGCGGCTCTACGAGGTCATCATGTTCAAGGGCAAGCACGAGGCGAATACGGGGGCGACGCTCACCGTGGAGAAGATGGCCGAGCTCTACAAGGAGAAGGTCAAGATGGCAGAGAGCTCGGAGTCCGTGTCTACCACCTTCATCACCCAGGCGATTCGCGTGCACAAGAGCGTGCTTGCACATCCAGATCTGCGAAAATTCTTGCTGGAGTGCGACGACAGGGATGGGGCCAAGAATCCATTCGATTCAGTCGCCAAGATCGAAGCTATCAACCAGAAGATAAAAGGCGTGAGTGACATGAAGTGGGTATTTCACAGCCTCTACGACTCATGGAAATGTGGCTACCTCGGGGGCTCCATCAGCGAGAGGGCGCTCAAAGGCCAGTCGCCGGGCATGAACGGGAAGGGCATTGCGGAGCTCGCCCTGTTCAGGAAGCAAGCGAAAGATATCTTGCTGGAGAAGTTGTCCCCCTACTGCAACCCTGATGCGTTCCAGAAGTTGTCGGAAGTTCTTGCCGCGCACGAGTCCTACCGCAACCAGCGCGGGTTCCCGTCTTCGAGGCTCGATGGGACGCGGCGGGCCACCTGGAAGGATAGCGCGATCAAGAGTTTCCGCCTCTTGGAGGAGACCGTCTACGGCACCGAATGCGACCAGTACATGAAGCGTTCCATTGTTTTTCGGAAATCAGCGAGCAGCATGATCGAGGAGGCCCCTTTCCCTGAAGAGTTCGAGGAAATTGAGGCGCTGTGGAAACAGGAGACTGGCCAGGCCATCTCAGACAAGAAGGATGATGAGGATCAGGAACCTGAAATGGACCTGGGGGCGGTCAAGCACACTACCACGGCAGAGGAGATAAACATTGTCAGCCACACGAACGCGACGATCAGCATCAACATCATGGACGAGTCCACGAGCGCCAAGATTGCCAAGCACAAGCGGGACATCTTCGAGCGAGTCCGCACGCTGGTCCAGCTGCAGCGGACTTAGCCTTTCTCGGCGGTCGCGCCGCCTAGGACTGCTGGGTAAACCTCCTCCTCCTCCTCCTCCTCCTCCTACGCCTCCCCCTCCTCCTCCTCCTCCTCCTCCTCCTCCTCCTCCTCCTTCTCCTCTTCCCCCTCCCCTTCCTCCTCCTCTTCCCCCCTTCGCCCCCAGGCCTCCGCGCTTTTCTTCCTCCAGACGGTCCGAAGAGGCCCCGTGGGACTGATGGCGCTGCGATTGGCCCGAGAAGAGGTCCGATTCGGCCCTGGAGCTATCCTGGGCCGCACTTGGCTTTCTTGGACGCCATATTGGGTCATGCTGGAATATCTCGGGGCCCTCCTGGGCCGCCCTGTTGGGGGTCCGATGGGCCACCCCGAGGCCTTCCAAGTAAGAGCGATGCCAAGAAGAGTGCGGTGAAAACACGTCGACCTCTAAGGGGCGCCCTAAGCGAAATCACCGCCGTCTCGGGCCCTCTTGGGCCCAATGCGGCGTCTCAGCGCCCAAGGCGGTCCAAGACGCCCCTCTGAGTGGGCACTAGACGGTGTCTCAGCGCCCAACAACAACAACCAAGACGGTCAGACAGGCAGCGACCCCATCTAGGGCCTCTCAGCCATCTTCTCGGTAGGCTCGGACCCCCTTCCTTCGGGCCCCCCCCGGGGCCCAAGCGGGCCAGTTCCCCGAGCCGCGCCCGGCCACTGCGACGACGAGTTGGTCACGACAAGATGGCTGAGAGGCCCTAGGTGGCTTGCGAGATGGCCGAGGGGGGCCCTCTTCTAGAGTGCACTGCGGGGGCCAGAGACTGAGGTTCCCAGAGCCCGAGCGCGAGAGCGAACTCGTCGAGATGTTGAAGGCCTCCGTCGCGATCTCCGAGGGCCCGAAGCTGGTGGGCGCTGCCATTGCCGGGGGCAAGCCTGCATACATCGGGGTCTTCTACGATTCGAAAGTGGCTCGCCAGGCGTCGAGCCGCCCCCGCGCCCGCATTGCTTACCTCCAGAACAATCACATGAAGAAATTGGTAGGTGCGGCGCTGGCCGCGTTCCCGCCTGGTGGCGATGATGAGAACACCCCCGAACTCCCAGACAAGGTCGCCTGGTTTGTTTGCGACGCTGGCAAGCAGGGGTCCGAGGCCTCGCTCATGGACAGTTTCAGGACCCCAGCGGGCAAACAACTGAAGAAAGATAAACACGTTGTCTACATCAACTACAGCGAGGAGTCCATCATGACCAGGTTGAAGGTCACGCTGGACTCAACCCCGTCCCTCTGCCCCGCTCTCTCCTCCTCGCCCCCTCCCCCCCCTCGCTCCCTCGGATAGGGGCGACGACGACGACGACGGCGACGCCCTCGGATAGGGGCGACGACGACGACGACGACGACGACGCCCTCCCTCCCTCACCTCATCCCTTCCCCACCTCATCCCTTCCCTCACTCGCCCTACCTCCTCCCTCCTTCACCTTCCTCCACCTTCCCCCCTTCCCCACCTCGTCCTTTGCCCTCCCCGTTCCTTTCTCCCTCGGCCCTCCCCATCCGCCGGAGCTCTGCTGCAGCAGGAGTTGCGGGGGGCCTCCTCCATCCATGACCTCCCCCTCTCAGACGAGGTCAAAAGAAAGAACACGGCTGGGGCGATGCAAGTGGAGAGGATGTTCATTCTCACGAGGAAGCCGCTCGTCATAGAGGACAAAACACGTTTGCACTACAGCGGGACCAGCAATGGTGAGCACATATTCGTGGGGTGGAGGGCCCATGACAACCCTTCGCTGTGGACGATGAAGCGCAAGGATAAGAAGATGATAATCGGGAAAAAAGAAATCGCCTTGATGGGGGGGCCAGGCGAGGACACCCAGGAGGATAAGAACCTTGACAAGTTAGATGCCCTTTCCCAGACGCCCGAGACGGTGGAGCCCGTTTTCTGGTTCGCGCCCCCGCCCCAGCTCTCCGACGAGTGGAAGCACGACTTCAATTTGAAATCGATTGTCGCCTTGACGCTAGGCGACGCGAGCCTCGCCATGACGGCGATCCGCTTCAAGGTCTTTGGGTCCTCCTCCTCCTCCGCCTCCTCCACCTTCTCCTCCCATCGCAGCGTCTCAATAGGGCAGCCGCGACGACGACGACGACGGACGACCGACGACGACGACGACGACGACGACGACGACGACGACGACCTCTTCCTTCCCCGCATCGGCGGGGGCCGCGAGCCCCTCCCGGTCGCGGCATTTTCGCGCCGCCGAGAGCGTTCGCCGAGAGCGTCCGCCGGGCGGAGGAGCGGGGAGGAGGAGGAGGAAGATGAGGAGGAGGCGGAGGAGGAGGAGGACATGGAGGTTTAACCAGTCCTTGAGGTGCCCCCTTCATTCATTCAGGGGGAGCAGAAGGATGAGAAACAGTATGCGGGGGAGCTGTTGCCAGGGGGTCGTCGTCATCGTCGTCGTCGTCGTCGCGTTGTCGTTCAGGGTCGGGGGACGCGTCTCGAGGCCTCTCCAATGTACATCAACCTATGCTTGCATGCCAGATCGCCCTAGGTGCCGTATTGCGGGATCGCCCTGAACGAGGAGCACATGAAGGGGGCCTATGACTACCTGTACCGCGAGACCATGAAGGCCTACATGCAGGAGGGGGACCCGTGCTACAACCCTGAGTTCGCCAACCTGGTGCTCAAGAACAACGCCCAGGCCAGCGAGGGCAAGCCCGACGACAAGAAGGATCCTAAGAAGACGGGGAAGCGCAAGAAGGGGGCGGCCGCTGCTGAAGGCGGCGATGGCGGTGACGACGAGGGCGCCGGCACTGAGAACCTGGTGGATAAGATCCGCAGGCTCGCCGCGAAGGGTGGCAAGGACGCCAAATGCAGCAGGGGCGGCAAAGAGAGCACCGCGAAGGACAAGAAGGGTGTCGACGACGACGGCGAGGACGAGGACGAGGAGGGCAAGGACAGCGTATCCGATGTGGATATCCGCTAGGCCGCCGCGAGCTGTCTCCTAGGCCGCGCGAGCGATCGGCCGCCCCTGCTGCCGGGGGCCCCAGGCGATATCACTATGGAGGGAGGGAGGGCCGTGACTGACGGGAGGGCCGTCAAAAATGACGACGGCCCTCCCCATCATTGACGGCCCTCTTCGTTAGACGGGATGGACGTCAGGTGGAGAGGGGGACTTAGGAGGAAGAGGAGGAGGAAGGACGTGGGGACTGGCGAGGAGGGAGGTCGCGGACAAGCGAACGACCTCCCTCGCTTGCAGCGCTGGTGCCGCCGCCACTGCGAGCAGTGGCCACGTCGCCCGCCGTCGCTTCGCCTGCCCGCCGGCGCTCCGCCTGCTTGAGAAGCAGAACTGCCTTCCCCCTCGTCGACGACGTAGACGACGACGACGACGATGATTTCAGTCT